AAAAAAAAAAAAAAAAGAATATTTCCCAGGTCTCCCAGAAATATTTTCAAGGCTTGATTTTATTGCAGGGTTCTATTAAACATGCATAGTGGGATGTGTTAAAATGACTGTTTCCCCCCTCCTTTATACATTACAGCATCTTGTCTCTACTTTGTATTGCTTTTCCCTTGAAAGTATTCTAAAGTGATGCCTGAAAGGTTTTAGGGAGAGTGGAAAGTGCCAGGGTTATTATTTGGGGCATCACTGGGGAGTAGTAAAAATGGAATTTCTCTTAAAAGAGAACTTTGATTTAATACAGTATCCTGCTTCTGCATGAAAAAGATAGTAGATGGAAAACAAAACAGTTTTTAAAAATGCATGCTGTATATTGGGTGAATTATCATCCAAGATGCTTTCTTAAGTTGTTAATACATGATTTATGGGTCTACCTAATTTGTGGAGATTAATGGCTCCCTATTTAATTTTTAGAATATGCTTGAATTACTGGAAGAAATGCCAAATGGAGTTCCACCTGAAAAAGTTAAAAGTTACATCTATCAGCTAATCAAAGCTATTCACTGGTGCCATAAGAATGATATTGTCCATAGAGGTAAGTATGGAATTTTTGAAATGGAAAATACTAAGAAAACATCAGAGTTAACAATGAAATATTTTACATATTACTGTCTTAAGAGTATTTCCATGGGCACTGACGTTCCATTTAAATTAAATACATTTTGAAAGTACAGGATATGAGATGTCGTTCACCTTCCAAGTCTCCTTTTGGATCACCAAAAAGATGGACTGCAAATTTATTTGGATATTATGGTGAGATATCTGTTTGTATAACCAGATCTATTCTCAACTTTAGAAATGCCTAGGGATATAAAGAACTCAACAAATAGGAACTTTGAAGCTTACTTTGGGCAAAAAGAGCAAAGGGATGTTCTCTGTTGCCTTTTGGTCCTACTGGTAGACCAGAAAATGTGAAACCACCCAGAATAAGGCTTTAAACGTGGTCTCTGACCCCCATTGACAGTCACCTCTCATTCCCTGTTAGACCAACCACCTCTGGTATATACCCTTCACTTCCTGAATTTCCCTATCCATTAGTGAAAAGTGCCCATTGCAAGTTGTAGGCATGATCAACCTTGCATAAAGGTAATGAGTTGGCTTCCGTAAACTGTTTTATTGCTATGAGGTGGGTGGTTTATAATAATAAAAGGGAAATTACTTTCTCAGCACGGTCTTTGACTCTACACTGTTTGTCTTCTCCTGATAATCTCTCTTGAATTCCAGAGTTTTACAGTAATGGGACACACTGATAAAATAATGAAGCCAGAAGATGTTTATCAGAAAGTCTTACAATATCTACTTCTTGTCTCTGAATTACCAGATAAATGAATACTACATTTTAATTTACCTATACAAACACACAAGCATATCACTTTAAAAATAGTCTCATTTTAAGAATAGCTTAAAGGTCATGTGAAGAATGCCAACTCCTATTATATCTAGAAAAAGACATTTTATATTTCTCTTGGATTTGATTTTCATACTAGTTACCTCATCAAGGTTTTTGGTGGTATAGATAGATCTCCAAGTCAACTGCATATCTATCTAGTGTCTAGGGTAATGATTCTAATAACAGTCTATACTACAATATTAGGCTATTAATAAGGAACTGATTTAGCTTCATTTCTATAGTGATGCTGTGATTTGGTTAAGTATATAGTAATAAATCAATGGTTGTGAATTAGCAGTAGAAACCATGATTCTGAAATCTACAGATTTTGCTCCTATTGCTTCCCTTTTTCCATTTTCACCTCTGCCATCTGATATAGATGATGGGTACTCTAAAAATAAAATTGTGAGATCTCCCAAGGCAGGAATTACATAGCATTTTCTGTATATTTCTACTCAGCTCCCACCACATCTTCTGAAGATCCATGGAAAAAATGAGAAATGTTTTCTTGATTCATGCAGGATAACTTCAGCATTAGATATTTATAATTGTGAACCACACAGAAAAGCTAAAGAGATATGTAAATGTAGACATTATATACAAAATCACAACAAATTCTATCGTTTTATATAGTTTTTCCTCTAGGAAATATAATGCTAGCTACTTATATGTGTTTTTTTTTTAAAAGGTGGCAATCTTTTTTATTTTATTTATTTTTAAATTTTTTTAAAGATTTAAAGAGAGAGACACAGCGAGAGAGGGAACACAAGCAGGGGGAGTGGGAGAGGGAGAAGCAGACTCCCCACGGAGCAGGGAGCCCGATGCAGGGCTTGATCCCAGGACCCTGGGATCATGACCTGAGCCGAAGGCAGACACTGAACCACTGAGCCACCCAGGCGCCCCTACTTATATGTGTTTTTAAAGTATCTGGGGGGGCGCCTGGGTGGCTCAGTCAGTTAAGCAGCTGCCTTCGGCTCAGGTCATGATCCTGGGGTCTTGGGATCGAGCCCCACATCCGGCTCCCTGCTCAGTGGAGAGCCTGCTTCTCCCTCTCCATCTGCCTGCCACTCTGCCTACTTGTGCTCTCTCTCTCTCTGTCAAATAAATAAATAAAATCTTTAAAATAAAATAAAGTATCTTGTGGGTGTGAACATTTCTTTTGATATTCTATCTCCAAAAATTTATGTTCTTACTACTTTATAAAGTAGAATAGTTCCTTGAAACGTGGTGGCCTAGATTCAGTGATTCTTAAATTCCTTTCAGAGATCGCATTAATACCTTTAAGATTTGAAGGGAAAAATATTTTTTAAATTGTGGGTTTTCATGTTTCTCAAAAAGAAATTAGTTGAAACTTTTATGTATCAGCAAAAAAGGTGTTACCCTGCTTTTCACTGCCACAGTTTCTATTCACATTACCATGGATATTTCTAATTAGGTGCCATTATAGTGATCCAATAGTGTCAGTCAGCAGTCCATGGAACATTTTTTAATAATTGTGTTTTTTGTCTTTATACTTCAGATATAAAGCCAGAAAATCTCTTAATCAGCCACAATGATGTTTTGAAACTGTGTGATTTTGGTAAGTTAAAAAAGAAATTGAGCCCTGTAAGTAGAATTAAATATAACATATAGGTAGCTTTTAAAGGCTTATTAAAAGTATTTTTTTATGTTTTGACTTCAGTTAGCAGAGGAATATTCTATTGGGTCATATGTTGAAAAATTGATTGCTGGGAAAATACTCTCTTTGCATAGTGTTGTCTATTCTTTTTTAAAAATTCATAATGCAGTATTTGTTCAATGAGAACACAAAGCAAATAGATGCACGAGCATATATTCATAAACCCAGTACTTAATGATTCCAAAAAACCAATTTTCTATGAAATCCACTATGCCTTCTGTTTTGGGTAGGATAAAAGAAATATTTTTAAAGTATTAAAGTAGAAATTATTTTAGGTATAATCATAAGCACTAACAATATGCATAGGTAGATACATATGTATCATGTATATGCAATAGTTACATATCTATAAAGGTCAAAGACATTTTTAGAACAATTCCATTTATTCCCTTTAAATGTTCAGTGAATGAGATTAGTAATTGATGTGTAATATTCCAGCTCCTGGTTAAGTGTTTAAGGAAGCTTTTGAATTGTACTCTCTCCTAGTAGAAAATTGTGCATTCTTTTCCATATATATGAAACTGTATTAAGTGCTATTAAAAATTTGAGTTAAAATAATTCAAAAAAGTTTTAAAACTATAAATTAGGGTGTTTAAGTTCTGGGTCACCTTAAAAAAATCTTTTGTCTAATGCATATGCTGAAAAATAACAACTTGATTTTTTTTAATGTTTTTTCACACATTCAAGTATAATCATAAATATAATGTAAACCTCTACATATAAGTGAGAATTCATCTCCTTTCATAAGCATAGGTTAGATTAGTACCTCGGAGGTGGATCGAACAAATGAGAAATAGAAGCATTCTAAGAATGCACTGTGTGAATGACTAGTTTTCTCCAGTGTAGCTATTAGAAGCATGTGTAACTGTTTTCACTCAGTGTTTGCAAAGAATTTGAATATTATGAACCTGCTTGCCTGAGGAAAAATGTTTTATAATAAGGGCTTAAATTTTTTCATACTTTATAAAGAATATTGCAAAGAGTCCTGCTATATGTTAAACATCTTATGAAGTGCTTAGAAGAATAAAAAAGAAACACCAAAATACAGTTATTTAAAAGATTTTGACCTTGACATTTTTAGCACTTTCTTAGTATTATGATTTTCAGGAATATTTCTGGTTCTATTTCTCACTTCCTATCCATAATTGTGACTACCATCAAATACTGAGATTTTATGCACCTCATATGCCCTTTACTATGCATCCATGATTCTATGGGTTGGTGATTTGCTTAAACCCCCAAATTACTGAAATTTGTAAACAAGTTATAAATACAAAAGAGATGCCTATAGAATGGTTAATAATAGGAAAAGGGTATCCCTGGCCTGGCATCATTTCTTTTCTTTTTTTTATTTTTATTTTTTAAAGATTTGTTTATTTATTTTAGGGAGGGAGAGAGAGAGAGAGAGTGTGGGGGGGGCGCAAAGGGAGAGGGAGAGAGAATTCTCAAGCAGACTTCCCGTTGCGCACGGAGCCAGACTCAGGGCTTGATCCCAGGACCCTGAGATCATGACCTGAGCCGAAATCAAGAGTCGGACACTTAACCAAATGAGCCACCCAGGCACCCCCTGGCATCATTTCTTAAAGGAAAGACAATTTGAAGTGGTAAGGAAATTTCACATGGCTGCACTGCATGTGGTTCTCTATGTCCTATGTGTCCCCAGTGAACACTTCTCAACTGCTTTCCTTCCCAGAGCACCGGGCTCCTTTGTCTAGCTTGAAGAATCCCATTTGAAAATAGGAATATTTCTTCCAAATATGTCTTATGAAGAAGCGTTGATTAACTGACGTTAGGGCTTTGTTTTTTGCTGTGGTTGTTTTTATTTTTTACTGTTACACTGTTTTCTACTTTTCAAAACTGACACCTTAATTTTTACCCCTAATTTTAATGTTCTGGTTCTCTGTGACTATCCATAATGCTTTTGGTGAGTTAGGTGGCTTATTTTTTGGCCCCAAAACCTTCTGAAAGGGTTTGGAGGGAAAATAATTATTGATAGAGTCTGTAAGTAATTAAGATACCCCTAATATGCTTCTCAGTCACATAAGGAGATTAAAATAATTTTGGCCTGCTTAGTTTCCATCATTGCCAACCATTAGTTGTCTATATAATGGCTAGAACTGATCAGCAACAGTAGATCTACGAATAGTAATGTTAAGTCCCACATATCAGAGTATAATGACTAGCTCAGTTGGTTGAGTGTCTGCCTTCCACTCGGATCATGATCTCGTGGTCCTGGGATCGTGTCCCCTGTCGGGCTCCCTGCTCAGTGGGGAGTCTGCTTTTCCCTCTCCCTCTGTGATCTCTCTCTCAAGTAAACAAATAAAAAATCTTTGGGTGAAAAAGAGAATATAATGACCATCTGTGACAGGGTATTTTAGCTTTAACTTGGGCTCTTGTAGGGACTTCATTTTGGTCCTAAGATTTGCATTTATTGAGAGAGCTGACTTAGAAGTATGCTCTGAATGCTTATAAAAGCATGTGATAACTTGAAAAATATGGATTTCTTTAGTATAGGAGGAGACTGGTTTTTTTAGTGAGTACACTGTATATTTTAATTGACATATGAATGGACTAATGTTTTAAAATAACGAAGGCACCATTAATAAACAGCCCATTCAGTACCAGTTATTATGTTCTTTTGATGTTCCTTTAAAATATTACTAGCACTGAAATACTTTGCCAACATGAAGTTATGATTTCTTTTTCAAAGTTACACCTTTGGGTTTTTCTGTCTTTCAGGTTTTGCTCGGAATCTATCAGAAGGCAATAATGCTAATTATACAGAATATGTGGCCACCAGGTGGTATCGGTCCCCAGAACTCTTACTTGGGTAAGTTACCTTCCCCAGATAAAATGACTTTTATATATCTGCTGATCGTGTATCATTAGCTTTGGGATCATCTATGAAAGGTAAGAACTTTAGTTAATTAAATACCAGTTACCTATTGCAGTGTAACAAACCACTCAAACACTTAATGGTATAAAACAAACACCATTTTATTTGCTCACAGTTCTGGGTACCAGTGATTTGGGGGAGTCAGTAATTGAAGTTCAGCTGGATTGTTCTTCTGCTGGTCTCAATGGGAATCACTCAGGTAGCAACAGTCACTCAGCAGATCATTTGGAGGCTGGCTGGTTTACGAGGCCTCAGCTGGGACAGACCATCTCTGTTCCATGGAGACTCATTCTCCAGTGGGCCAGTCCAAGTTGCTTCATGTGATAACCGAAAACTTCCCTGCAGCAAGAGGGCAAGCCTCAAAGCAAAGGTGGTTTTGAAGCCTCTGTTTGCATGGCTTTTGCCTCATTGGCCGAAACCTGTTACATGGCCAAGTCCTGATTCAAGGGATAAAGAAATAAACTCGACCTCTTGTTGGGAGGACTGGCCTACCTATTGGTTCGTTCGTTCATTCATTCATTCAACAAACAGTAATCAAGTATCTCTTATACCTGACCACTTTGCTAGAAACATGATGTAAATATTGAAGCAGTTGCCAATTTTCTTCTGAATAGAGAAATCCTGTTTGATGATAAATGGCTATTCAAACACACTGCATTGATGATTTTCTCAGCAACATCATATCCATCCACTTTGTGCCCACCCTTCCACTTTCAGTGCTCTGTTAACCCGAGAAAAGGGTTTTCTGATAAGATTCTTCTTTTCTTTTTAGTAACTTGAGAGCCTAGGAAGGAGCCTATCCTCCTGAACTCAATCACATAGTTATATGAATAATCCTCTACTTACCTTAGTGGTAGTATTTTCTTATTTTCCCTACATTGTATTTCCTTCTTGGGGACCATCCAAGAATGGAGAAAGAAGGCACATTCTGCAAATAAAATGAGATGTGGTGATGATGACTGGTGCTCTAATTACAGGTTTCATCTTTTTAGTGTGCCATATATATATCTGGGGAACATGAGAAATTTAATTTTTAAAGATTTTATTTATTTGTTCATTTTAGAAAGAGAACTTGAGTGGGTGGAGGAGCAGAGGAAGAGGGAGAGAGAGAATCTCAAGTAGACTCTGTGCTGAGTGTAGAGCCTCACGCGAGGCTTGATCCCACAACCTGGAGATCATGGCCTGAGCTGAAATCTGGAGTCAGACACTCAACCCACTGAGCCACCCAGGCACCCCGAGAAATTGAATTTTTAAAAGATACTTTTTATATAGTAGGAATACAAATTTCTGTGTTTCTTTTGTTGACGATCATGATGACTATATGTGTAAGTTACTGAGGGTTTATTTTGATAGATTGTAATTCTTTTTTTTTTTTTTTAAGATTTATTTATTTATTTATTTGACAGAGAGAGAGACACAGCGAGAGAGGGGACACAAGCAGGGGGAGTGGGAGAGGCAGAAGCAGACTTCCCGCGGAGTAGGGAGCCCGATGCGGGGCTCGATCCCTGGACCCTGGGATCATGACCTGAGCCGAAGGCAGACGCTTAACGACTGAGCCACCCAGGTGTCCCGATAGATTGTAATTCTT